GGTGGAGCGTAGCAGGCAGAGCAGAGCGCTGTTTATTGGGGTGCAGCGCAGGGAGGGGCACTCCCTTTTCCCGACCAAAGCACAAGCTCCCACAGGCGGCTCTTTGCACCCCGTTTATTTCCCCCAGAGAAGGGCGGGGGGAGCCCCACGTCCCGCAGCCCCCCGGATTCCATCGAGCTGCGCGGCTCGGCGCAGGGGAGGGAAACGACATCATTTGTCTCTTTTGAGGGCTTTTTTTTTTACAGAAATACAGTACGTTTATGCACAGACTATTTACACTCAAGCCCCTCTCTTGCATACAAGTCAGCGGTGGGGAAAGCCCAGCTCTGCTCCCAGCCGGATGCCAGGGAAGAGCCAGCGGGATGTTTTCTTTGGCCGAGGACCCGGAGACGGGACGGAGGAGGAAGAGGAGCCGCCCCAGGACCACTAAACCCCCTGAACACCTCGCTGCCGGCTTCTCCCCACGCTCCACATCCTTCTACCTGAACCCCCCAGGGTTTTAAGGGGCTGATTTTCCTCCATCGAGTCTTGCAGGGTGCGGGCACTGCGCTCCCCGGGCTGAGTTTTCTGCTTTTGTGCCACAGCCTGAGCCCCGGAGAGCGGCTGAAGCTCTTGCATAGCCAGTGCTGCTGCGGGTGCAGGGGGGGGAAAAAAAGGGACAAGCTGGGCAAGACAGGCGGCAGCAAGAAAATAGGGAGTAAAAGCATTAGAGGGATGGTTGAGAACCTACAAGGAGCGGTAACTCCTGTCCTAAAACTCCTTCCCTAAACCACTGTACCCTCTGCAGAGCCGGCCTTGAGCAGTGCACCCATCCGTGTTTTTTTCCTATTCCGTTTGCTTTAAGCAGACCAAAAATCCCCGCTCTATCCCTGCCAGCTACCTCCTCCGGCTTTGGCTGCAGGTCTGGATGTGCCGGATCCAGAGCTTTCCCTTGGCTCATCCGGGGAAGCGTTCGCTCCTCAAGGTCTCTCGGGACTCGCAGAAGGAATGGGGTAATAAACTAAGAGTAGGACAGAAAAACACAGATTAAAAGCGGGAGCGAAAAGCAGGAGAGTCAGATCGGTGTGGAGGTCAGGAACTTGCATAAAAGCTACAGGCAGAGACATCGGTTTTCCAGTGCAGGCTCAACCCGCTTCCCGGGAGCTGTCGCCGTACCAAAGTCCGGTTATATCTTGGCTAAAAAACCCCCCAAGATTTGCTCGGCGAGATGCCGACAGGAACTGGACACAGAAAAGCTTCTTTGAAATCAGCCCACGCCGTGCCAGCCGCTCGCAAACGGGGTTTTACGGGGAGCAACAGTCCCCAGCAGCTGGCCCCAAAACTGTCACCGGCCTCCCCCGAGCCCAAGATTAAAGTGCAAAATGCTCGTGCGGTCAGCGCCAGTCAGCAAAGAGGAACGGAGCGCACGGCGGGGGGTTTGCGTTACCTCCCTCCTGCCGTTCCGCCTCCATAAAGGACTGTTCCTCTCCCACCAGCATGCCGCAGCGGGCGTTTCCCCTATATATATAAATATATACACACACACACGTGCGTCACGCCTTTCTCCGGGCGTACGTTACGCCTCGACGGCGGAGGGACCAAGTTCACTGCGCGCCAGGTTGGGAATCCAGAGTGATTTCCCTTTCCTTCCTGGCGCAGGGAGGACGAGATCTCCGATGGGGGAGAGTGGATCCCCTCGTGGCAGGGGACGCTGCCGTTATTTTGGCGAACCGAGCCGGTGTAGGGTTAAAAGTCACGTCATGGAGTTAATAAAATAAGGGATAGGAAGAAAATGTTGATCATCTGACCCGAAAAGTTCTTTCCTCTGTGTGGGAGAGATCAGAAGAGTGAAGGAGGTGCCGAGAAAGTGAAGTTTGGGGGTGGGAGAAAGCGATGACAGCGGCGCGGCGCCGGCGGCATCAGGGGGTGTATGCCGGCGGCGGCTGGAATTGGTTGATCACTTCGTACTCGGCCGGGTAAGGTTCGTTCTCCTCCATCTCGGACAGGAGCTCCAGGGCTTGCTCCTCTTCCTCGGTGGGGTAGTGACGCAGCAGGTTGGCGGCGGTGGCGAGGATGGAGGCCCCCCCGGCGCCCGCCACCAGGTAGAAACTGACGGCAAAGGTGACGTAGACTTGGGACCCGTGGTATTTTTTGTGTTGCTGTTGCTGGGCGAGGATCAGCTCCGAAGCCCAGTAGCAGAATCCGATGACGGTGGCACACTGCAGGACTGAGAGAGAGACCGGGAGAAACGCTGAGAATCCAGCAAAAAACACCCAATAAATCAGCAAGTTCGTTTCACAGCTGATCCAGCGACCGTTTAAGCAGGCAGAGCAAGAGAGCTTGCGGTGAAACGGGGTGGCGGATGCCTGAAATCCGGCCCGAGAGAGGGAAAGCCACAGTGGAGGATCACAGGGTGAGAATGAACCCGGCTGAGCGGAGCAACCGGCAACACAAACCAAAGCGGAAGGGTTTGGAAGGGGTTTTTTTGAGGGGGTGTTTTGCGACCTAGAAGGAGCGGCAGGAACAAATGGGCACAGGCTGACAGCTCGGACTGTCCCTGAGCCGCTCAGGTCTGATGCGGGTAATTCTGCCAGGGATAAGGGATATTAAAGCTCCGTCGACCTCACGAGCCAGAAAAGATGACCTTCTTCCTCAGAAAGGCGCTACGGGATCTCTTTGGAAAATAAGACCCATTAGTAGAGACTTAACGTTCATCCTCAACCTCTTCCCTCCCCAAGATTTGACTCCAATTTTAGTTGCGCAAGGCTTCCGTTGCCCTTCAGACCCGAAAAGCCGCCAAGGGGAAGCTCTGTGAGGGGAAGCTTTGGGGTAAGATGTGCACCGCAGCTCATAAAAAAAGCCTTCAGGGGCTTTTTTTCTGTCCCTTCAAGGATCGGGGATGGAAAAATGAAACCCGAGGCTTTCCTCCAACGTGGTGGAAACCGCATCTGCGCCGGTGGGGTTTACCTGTGAGGATGTGAGCGAAAGCGTAGCGGCGAGTGATCTTTAACGCCGGGTGCTTGGGGCCAAAGACATCGAGGAGAAAAGCCGAGAGGCTGCAGATGATTCCCAGGAAGCAGAAGGCGGCGATGACCCGGAGCAGCAGGACCGTCTGCGGGTTCATGCAGTAATCTGGGAGGGGAGGAAGAGAGGCAGGCACTGAGCAGCAGCAAACTCCTCTTTTCCACCCAAATCTCTCCCCAGACAGAGCAACCAGTATCGCGACAGCACAGCAGAAACGCTTTTAATTGGAAAATCTAGAAAACGAACCTCTCATACAGCAGCAGCTAGCCCAGTCACGTAGTTCACTTTACAAACTATTATTACAGTGCTAATTAAACCTAAACAAACACCTCTGACACACCAGAGCAGCCGAGATAACAAAGCAGGTCGCACGGGTTCCTTATTTAAAGCGAAGCTGCGGGAGTTACTAGAAAGTCTTTTGATTAAGGCCACGGCCCACTGGTGAAGAGGAGGAGGATGTAACCCCACGGCAAGGAAGATCCTGTGCTACTCCACCCAAATTCAAGCATACGTGGACTCTGCCCGTCCACAACAGGGCGCGCAGCCGGCACTGGGGGTAGCTGGAAGTTCAAAGTCACCCGCCCCGCTGGCTTCCACGAGGTGCCGCCAGCCAGGCAGTGAGAAAGGAAGGAGAGGAAAGGGCTCGGTTCTTCCCCTGTTGCAAACCACGGGAAATTTTCAGAAATAAAGCCAAGGGTTTGTGTTAACGTCATGTTAAAAAGCGCTAATAACGTGCCGGCACGATAGGCGGCTGGAAACGAGCGGCGGGCCGGGGGGGGGGGGCTCCTCCTGCCCCCCCGGCAGAGGG